ATCTCCAATGCAAAAGATGTTAACATACTGATTAGCTGATGTCCTATATACCATTATAGTAAGAAATATTGGTATGAAAGCCAGAAAATTGTATGCAAATCACTGCATAAACAAACCCCTAATAATATTATCAAAGACAACCTAATTTCTCCCCACTTACCCTAATTCAGCTGAGTAAATTTTTCAGTGCTGATGATTCAGCCAAGAACAATCCTGAAGATAAAAGTATATTTATTTTCTAAAATAAGAGATGGCTGTTCTTCGTTATGTCTTAACCAAGCAGCAATATTCCTAGACTACTCCTGCTTCTTCTGCCCACTTGTCACAGTGAACTTTCCTGCCTATCCGAAAAGGCTCTTCTTCCTCTCACCTCTCCCAGCTCAGAGGTCCAAATAATAATGCTCTTGTCTCCCTCCTCCTGCGTCAAAGAATTCAAGGAGACACATCTGTGATGTGAATCATAACTAATTTGTTTTCCCTCGAGAGCAATGATGAAATTTTTGAGTAATGATAAAATACTTGGGGACTCTGAGTATCTCAAAAGCAATTAATGTATATTGATAATTACCCAGAAATACAGAAACAAAGCAAAACAAAACAAAAATTCTCCCTGAAAGTTAGCTATGAGTTTCCACAATTAGCTGCTTTCCTCAACTTTGAATAACCATTACCATTACCCTTATTATAAATAATGTTAATATAAGTGAAAATAATTATAATGGTTTTAATTATTTTGTGCTTTATTAGCCACAATGCGTTTTTTGTATGTAATGTCTTATTGATTCTTAAACATTTTTGGTTGATGGTATTATTCCTTTTTCATATGAATGAAAACTGAGTGTCATAGAAATTACGGTACAAGCCCAGTGGGAACAAGTAATAAACAGTACAGATATAACACACGTCTTTATCTTATAACACCATGCCTTGTTTTTTAATTGAACATATCTTCTTATTAATGATCTGAAGTTTTGAAAGACATTTTATTGACAAAGTTATTTAAAATTTCAGCATAGAGCAGCATATTTGGCAGTGAATACTCCTAGTAGCAATCTTCCAAATGAATCAGAGGAGAAAGAAATGCCATGGATAAAAAAAGTAACACAGATATACCAGTGGTAATGATTTGATAGACCTACAAGCAGAGTGTAGAATTTAGAAATGTTGCCTCTTACTTTTATTCTTAAATTGCTATGCAATGTAACCCAAAAACTACACTGCCATTTAATAGACAGTTTTTTTTTCTAAAAAAAAATCCACTACTTTCTTTTGCTGGAGGGGTTACTCTATAGGGACATTAGAACATTAGGCCTGAAGCAATCTTGAAGAACAATCATCAGTGAGATATAAAAACTCCAGTGTTCTTAAGGTTGAATAAAATAGCGATTTACAATTGCAGCATCTGCAAGAGAAAGCTAGACAATAAATAAAGAAGACTGAAGAATTGATGCCTTTGAATTATGGTGTTGACTAAGAATACTGAATATACCATGGACTGCCAAAAGAATGAACAAATCTGTCTTGGAAGAAGTACAGCCAGAACGCTCCTTCGCCTTCTTCTCTCAGAAATAAACACAAAATTAATGAGAACAAAAAGCAAAATAATCTCAGATGCATTTGAAAACCAGAATTGCCAAATATTGATTTCTGAAAGTAGTGAAGGTCAAAGAGGGGGGCTTAAGATGAGTATATCCATCACAGCTGCTCTCAGAAATAACAGAAAAAGATCTCTTTGGAGTACAAAGTCAACTGTCTCTTGTTACAACAACAGGAACAGGGAATGAAGGCGGCCAATACAAATTTTCCTGGATCTCTGTATGGCATCTAGGAAAGCAGAACTAGGAATCATGGAGGTAAGCTGCTTTTGAAAGAAGTAGTCTGCTGTTGAAAGATTGGAGAGGAGATTTTGCCTCACAGGCGACTTACAGCAGAAAAGCCCAGTTGGTTGAGATGAAGTAAAGGCCAAAATAGCTCCCATACACATTTAACCTGGGTCATAAGCAATATTTTTGCTGACCTAGAGTAAGGACTTGTCTCCTCTCCAATATGAATCTCCTACAAATAGTTGATCTAGGAAAGAAAAAAACAGAATTCATTAACAGTGAATAATGAAAAGGGAACCAGATTTTTATGATATAAAGGTCTAGTACTATCGGGTCGCTGCGAGTTGGAACCAACTCTACGGCACCTAATAACAACAATTAGGAATATAAGGAGCCCTGGTACAGGGTCACTATGAGTCGGAATCGACTCAACAACAATGAGTTTGGATTTTTTTTTTTTTTTTGGTTTTGTGGCACAATGCTTAAGTGCTTTGTTGCTAACCTAAATCTTAGTGGTTTGAACCCACTAGCTGCTCTGTGGGAGAAAAGACCTGGGGATCTGCTCTAGTAAAGACTTCAGCCTAGGAAACCCTATGGGGCAGTTCTACTCTGTCATATAGGGTGGCTATGACTTAAAGTTGACTCAACAGCACACAACAACAACAACAACTGGAAATACACAAAACACTGAACAATAAAACCAAGATAGTAATAGGAAAATAAATGGTAGATGAGGAACATTCACCACAAAATCATTGCCATACAGGAGGCAAACGTTATTTATTTTTAAAAGGTCAACATTAAAAAGGTGACTGACGCTATGAAACTAGAATATAAAGCACAAATCTGAAAATATATGGCAAAATAGTAAGTGGGATGAACCATGAGCTGGTAGAACTCAGGCTAAAAAGAGAAGGAAAAAATAAAAACTGAAAAAATAAAAGTCAAAATTATAAAAACAAAAGGAGAATAGACTCAGTTGAAATGATGGAAGAAGTAGAATAGTTAAACTTGAGAAAGAAATAACCAAGAAGGAATAGAATCAAAATAGTAAAAGACAAAATATGTTTTAGAACATAAGAAAGAAGACATAGCTCTACAGACTGAAAAATTTTCACTTTGTTTCAGGTAAAAAAAAAAGAAAAAGTACAGAAAGTGGTAAAAACACTAGTACTGTTGCTGGACTTCAAAGATAATCAGTTGGTCAACTGGACAAAATGACCATACGTAAAGACAAAAGTCAGGCTGGTTCCAGACTTCTCTGCAACAATGATGACAATTATAAAGTAAGATGTGTGAGCTAATAATTTTATACTCCAAAATACTCTAATTTAAACAAAAGGAGGACAATAGCAGCAACAATAGAGCAGAAATAATAAGAATAACATTAGCAAGATAATGAAATGTAAAATTAATGTATAGAACTCCATGTACTTTGTGTACATAAACAATAACCTTAAAGACGGTTTCTGGAACTTAACATAAAAAGATTTTCTCTCTTTGATCACAGGAATTGGGTTCTTCTTTGAGTAATTATCTGAAACAGATGAAAATATCTTAGAAAAAAGGTGCGATGTGGTACCTTTACCTTAGATCATTGCTAAGATGACTAATAATTAGAACCCTTGGCATTCTTGGTTAATAACTGGTTTTGCTGCTGTTGTCTTCAAACTGAAGATATCCCTTTGTGGACATATTCCTAAGACTGGGTGGGGCAAACATGTTGTGCCTTAAAATAGAGTACTATAAGAACAGCTTTTCACCTCATTGAATTTATGACAGTGACAGAAAGCACAATGAAAGTCGATGATTAGGGTTAAATTGATCATTTTTAATACAACTTGGTAACAGACATGTATAATCCAAAAGAATCAGTGCATCCATGTAAATTATTTTTAATGCTAGTACTTCAGTTTGTAATTTCATTTTGAGCATGAGTTTTGTACACATGTTTACGTGTATTAATTATTCAATAAATGCATTGAATTTTATTTTATTTTTTATTGCATTTTTTCTGATTATATTCTTTCTCTTAGGTGATGATTACAAAATAAGTTGTCTACATTTAGAAGTTGGAAAAGGCCAATTTTTGCATTGGAAATTGCTGGGGAAAAGAATCAGTGTCCTGTTGTGTCCATGGAATGTTTTTCTTTTCCAATTAGCCTTTTCATGGCCCCCTTGAACTCCTTATTCCTTAGTGTGTAGATAATGGGTTCAAGCTGGAGGTAACAGTGGAATAAAAGATACTGAGAAGTTTACCCTCATCCTGATTTGGACTGTTTCCTGGTTGTATGTACATGTAGATTAGAGTCCCATAGAAGATGGATACCACAATGAGATGGGAGGAACAAGGTCCAAATGCTTTTTGTCTCCCTGTTGCAGATTTGATCTGGAGTACAGCTAGAGCAATGAAGTCATATGAGACCAAAACGCAATCTTAATCATCACAGACATTTCACAAAAAAAGTGGTCTAGGTGGTGGTTCCCACATCGAGGAAGGCTCATGGCAAAGGGTGAAAGGATCATGCAATTAATAGCACCAACTAACCAGGCCATGGCCACCAAGCCCTGGCAGAGCTGTGAGTTCATTATGGTCTTACAGTGCAGAGGCTTGCCGACAGCATTGAACCTGTCATAAGACATCACAGCTAGAAGGATACATTCAACAATGCATAGTGTGACATCAGTGAAAAGTTGAAATGCACAGCCACCAAAGGTTATTCTCTTGTCTTTACCCCAGATATTGACCAACATCTGTGGGACTATATTTGTGGTGTAACAGAGATCCAAGATGGCCAAATTTCTAAGGAAGAAGTACTTGGGAGTTTGGAGATGATCATCTAGGAAAGATAGCAAGATGATGGCCATATTTCCCATCAAGGCAATGGCGTAGAAGAAAAAGACCACTCCAGAGATGATCATCTCCATCTGGGGGTGCCCTGTGAATCCAAGGAGCATAAGTCCATTGAAGTAGCTCTCATTGATCGTTTTTTTTTCTTTCTGTAATAGCAATTCTGAAGATGGAAAAATTAACGTATTAGAAGGCACGGTTGAGTATATTCACAAACTTTAATGCCAGACTAAAATCAAGCACTATATTCAAGGTATGAGTATCATTTTTTATTATCTAACATATAAACATTTTTAATGGTCTATATAATATAAAACATTTAAGCTATGATAGCAAGAGTGATGGATTATTGGGTAACTTTTTTAATAACAAATGATATTCAAATGTGGGTTATAATGGAAAGAATGATTGCTAAAACCTAGAAATCTGTATCTATCACAAGATTTTATAAAAGAGGACTTTGTAAAATCTAATGTCATTAAGTGTCTTCTAATATGACTGGTTCTTTACTGGAAGAATTTCCTCTGCTCCAGTAACATAGCAACTGTTCATACTAAAGGATGCAGAATTGAAATCAGTAACTTCTCATTTGATCCTTTTTATTATAATTTTGTGTATAATTCCGCTAAGGAGCAAAGTCATATTAATATTGATTAAAACAAAGGGGATAGCTTCCAATACTGACTGATCACTAAAGTTTCCTGGAGTTATTTTCAAACATAGAAATTTCTGTGACCTCTCTTGAAAAATTCTGTTTTATTTATTTATTGGTTGATTGTGTGGGAGATAGACATGAGTAACAATTCTTATTATCTTAAATGTCATAGGAAGATAGACAGCAAGTTTGACTTGCTCATCTCATCGTATTATGGTATACATTTACCACAGAACTTAAAAAATATGTATTTACAACCTTGGAGACAAGTTATCTTAGAATGAGGGAAAGCATATAGTATCGCTTAAATCAATATCATTCTCTCCTTCATTACTTAATCTTAGCTAGCACCAACATTCAAACCCAGAGCTTTCTCCTGGGCCCATTCCTTTCACCATAGTGTCAATCTCTTTGTTGAGATAACTTCCCAACCTCTTTCTCAGAAATGCTCTTCTCTTCTAGTTGTATATTTATGATGATAATGAACTCAAAAAGTCTTAAAAACAATCATGAATAAAGAAACTGGATGGCATTTGACATATTTTCCTCTTAACACTGAGGATCCGGTTGCTGGAAGTTGAGAATATAAGGCATCTGTAACAAAAAAATATCACGTCTGGGTTCGTAGGTAGAGCCTAGGTTTAATACCCATCATTCTGCTGGTTTCTTTTCTCCCCCCAATCCAGGATTTTTCAGCCTTAGTAGTATTGACATTTAAGCCAGATAATTTTTTGTTGTGGAGGGCTGTTCTGTACATTATATATGATATTTAGCAGCATCTCTGGTTTCTACCAGTAGCCAGTACCCATGATCAGGTGGCTTTAACACCCCTCCCCAGTTGTGACAGCCAAAATGTTTCCAGAAATTGCCAAAAGTCCCCTATGGGGCAAAATTACCTTAATTAAAAACTACTTCCTTAACCTATGAACAGACTAGACCTAACTACAGTTCTCTTATAATTTCTTACCTGAAATTATTAAATTATCTCCTTTTTAACACCTAACTTATTATTTCTTCTCAGATCCATAAAAGTATCTCTTTTATTGCAAATATTATTTGACCTCTTCTGTATTGTTACTGTCATCATTTATTGTCTCTTAAAGTCTAATTCTCCATAAATTTATTCCTTCCTTGTTTTTACACTGAGTTTGCACTACTCATTTACATCATTCTCTCAGTCTATAAAACTGCTCAGTTCTATAAAATTGCAATCAAAATGCTAAGCCTTTTCAAGCTATGTTATTTTCCTGCTTGTATCCTAGTGATTAGTTCCAGATTTAGATACAGAGAAAGTTGCCAGTATATATTTGTTATTTTAAAAGCGAGTCTGTACAAAATCACCACAAGAAAAGAAAACTACAGACCAAGATCCCTAATGAATAGGGCTGCAAAAATCTTCAGCAAAATACCAGAAAAAAACAAATCCAACAGCATAGTAAAAGAATTATATATCATGACCAAGTGAGATTTGTTCCAAGGATGAAAGTGTAGTTCAACATTAGAAAACAAACCAGTATAATACACCACATTAATAGTGCAAAGGAAAAGAACCACATTGTCATATCAATCGATGCAGAAAAGGCATTTGATAAAATCCAACACCATTTTATGTTAAAAATACTCAACAAGCTAGGAAAAGAAGAGAAATTCCGCAATATGATTAAGGGCATTTATGAAAAACACACATCCAACATTATACTCAAGGGAGAAAAATTGAGACCTTTTTCCCTTAAGATCAGAAACAAGACAAGAATGACCACTCTCATGACTGCTACTCAGTCTTGTACTGGAAGTCCTAGCTAGGGCAATAAATCAAGAGAAAGAAATAAAAATATCCAAGTCACGAAAGAAGAAGGAAAATTATCCATATTTGCAGATGACATGCTCTTATACAGAAAAAATCCCAATGAAACTGCAAGGAAGCATATAGAGCTAATAGAGGAATTAATCAATGTTGCAGGGTACAAGGTCAACACACAAAAATCAGTTGGGCTTCTATACCCCAGCAATGAGTATTTTCAAAAGGAAATTAATAAAACGATTCCATTTACAATGGCATCTAAAAGAATAAAATGTCTAAGAATACATATAACCAGAGATGTGAATTACTTATATAATGAAAATTACAAAACATTACTGAAAGAGATTAAAGAAGACCTAAATAAATGGAAAAACATCCCATACTCATAGATTGGAAGACTTGATACTGTTAATATGTCAATACTACCCAAAGCAATCTATAGATTCAACACAATCCCTATCAAATATGACAAAACATGACATTGAGTATATCATATACCTGAATTTAGAGACCATCTCAAGAATAGATTTGACACAATGAACACTAATTACCAGATGAGTTGTAGGATGACATTAAGGACATACATGAGGAAAGCAAAAGATCATTGAGGAGACAGGAAAGAAAAAAGACCAAAATGGATTTCAGAAGATATGCTGAAACTTGCGTTGAACGTAGAGTAGCTAAGACGAAAGAAAGAAATGATGACGTAAAAGAGCTGAACAGGAGAATTCAAAGGGTGGTTCAAGAAGACAAAGTAAAGTATTATGATGAAATGTACAAAGATCTGGAGTTAGAAAACCAAAAGGGAAAAACATAGTATTTCTCAAGCTGAAAGAACTGAAGAAAAAAATCAAGCATCAATTTGCGATATTGAAGGATTCTATGGGCAAAATATCGAACCAGGCAGGAAGAATCAAAAGAAGACGGAAGGAATACACAGAGTCATTGTGCCAAAAAGAATTAGTCAATGTTCAACCATTTCAGGAGGTAGCATATGATCAAGAACCGATGGTATTAAAGGAAAAACTCCAAGCTGCACTGAAGGCATTGGTGAAGAATAAGGCTTCAGGAATTGACGGAATACCAGTTGAGATGTTTCAACATACAGATACAGTGCTGGAGGTGTTCACTTGTCTATGCCAAGAAATTTGGAAGAGCTACCTGGCCAACCAACTGGAAGAGATCCCTATTTGTGTGCATTCCAAAGAAAGGTGATCCAACAGAATGCAAAAATTATCGAACAGTATCATTATTGTCACACACAAGTAAAATTTTGCTGAAGATAATTAAAAAATGCTTGCAACAGTACATCGACAAGGGACTATCAGAAATTCAAGTTGGATTCAGAAGAGGACGTGGAACCAGGGAAATCATAGCTGATGTCAGATGGATCATGGCTGAAACAGAATACCCAGAAAGATGTTTACCTGTGTTTTATTGACTATGCAAAGGCATTCAATTGTGTGGATCATAACAAATTATAGACAACATTGTGAAGAATGGGAATTCCCAAACACTTAATTGTGCTCATGAGGAAACTGTACATAGATCAAGAGGCAGTCATTTGAACAGAACAAGGAGATACTGCGTGGTGTAAAATCAGGAAAGGGGTGGATCAGGGTTGTATGCTTTCACCATATGTATTCAATCTGTATGCTAAGCAAATATCTGAGAAGCTGGACTATATGAAGAATGCAGCATCAGGATTGGAAGAAGACTCATGAACAACCTGAGATATGCAGACGACACAACCTTGCTTGCTGAGAGTGAAGAGGACTTGAAGCACTTACTGATGAAGATCAAAGATCACAGCCTTCAGTATGGATCACACCTCAACATAAAACAAAAATACTCACAACTGGACTAATAAGCAACGTCATGCTAGACAGAAAAAGATTGAAGCTGTCAAGGATTTCATTTTACTTGGATCCACAATCAACATTCATGGAAGCAGCAGTCAAGAAATTAAAAGACGCATTGCATTGGGCAAATGTGCTGCAAAAGATCTCTTTAAAGTGTTGAAAAGCAAAGATGTCACCTTGAAGACTAAAGTGTGCCTGACCTAAGCCATGGTGTTTTCAACTGCCTCATATACTTGTGAAAGTTGGACAATGAATAAGGAAGATGGAAGAAGAATTGACACCTTTCAATTGTGTTGTTGGCAAAAAATATTGAATATACTGTGGACTGCCAAAAGAAGAGGAAAATCTGTCTTGGAAGAAGTGTAACCTGAATGGTCCTTGGAAGCAAAGATGGCCAGACTAAGTCTCACATACTTTGGGCATGTTAGCAGGAGGCACCAGTCCCTGGAGAAGGACATCATGCTTGGTAAAGTAGAGGGTCAGCGAAAAAGAGGAAAACCCTTAGCAAGATGAACTGACACAGTGGCTGCAATGATGGTCTCAAGCATGACAACGATTGTGAGGATGGCACCGGACCAGGCAGCGTTTTGTTCTGTTGTACACAGGGTCGCTATGAGTCAGAACTAACTCAAAGGCACCTAACAAACAACAACATAAAGAAAAATGAAATCCTGATACATTCTACAACATGACTGAAACATGAAACCTTATGCCTAGTTAAGTATTTCAATTACAAAAGACAAACATTGTATGATCCCACTTATATTAAATATCAAGAAAAGGCAAATATATAGAGACCAAAGTTTATTAGTGGCTATCAGGTGTTGGTTGGGGAGCAAACAGGGAATCAAAAGAAGCATTGAGTATCTGCTACTGGTGGTGGAAAACTTGGTAAGGGATTATAGTAATGGTTGCACAATGTGATTCATGTAGTCGGTGTCACAGAACTCTACATGTAGAAAATGTTGAATTGGAAAATGTTCTGTTGCATATCTTTTTTTTTTAGCCATAATTTAAGAAGTGAAAAAAAAAAGTGAACATGCAATTCTTACTTGTCTCCTTTATTAAACTCTGAAAGAGAAATTTCTCCCGAAAACTCAATTCAAATTACATCCTCAAACATACAATATGGCTTCTCTCACATACACAATTTAAAAAAATATTATCTCAAAGGCAAAGGTGGCCCTAACTTCTAAAACCAATAAATAATGTCTTCTCAATTATCTTAACTGCTTGAGTTTTTGCCATAAAACAATACTGATCAATGTCTCATTTTGGAAATGATTCTACTCTCCTCCAAAGCAGTATAATGAACCTCCATTATAACTTCTTTTGAGCTCATTTTTCTCCTTCACTTTCATCCACTGCACCTTCTCATTTATTTTCCCTTTCCCCTCTATCCATTTCCAAAGTTCTCTAATCAGATATCTGCTTTACTCTCTGTGCCATTGATTTCCTTTATTTTTGTGGTTTCAGTTACTAGGTTTAGATAGATAACCCTGCTGTCTATCTGTACTAGTCCCACTTTTCTATTCTATTTCCAAATATGCAATGTTACCAGTGTGCTCAACATCAACACATAGATTTAAATAATCACTTCACATAAACACATAGGTTTACAACTGATTTCAAACATCATAGTTCAAAAGTGAATTCAACAAATTCACTGACTCTTTTATGTGGTACATATTTTATTTTTATTAGATATATGTCCCCTAAAGTATCTCTTTCTTTATAAATATTTCTTAAAATTCATCGTGAGATAGGTATGTAATCACACACACTTAAGTAAAGAGGAACATCCATTTGCATTTTTAGCATCTCCAATACAAAAGATATGAGCATACAGATTAATGGATGTCCTATGTGCCATTGTGGCACAGTAATTAAGAGCTTGGCTGCTAATCAAAATGTCAGCAGTTCAAATCCACCAACCACTTCTTAGAAACCCTATGGGGTAGTTCCACTCTGTCCTATAGGATCACTATGATTCAGAATTGACTCGTCAGCAACGGGTTACATGTCATTGCAGGAAGAAACATTGGTATAGAAGACAGAAAGTTGGATGCAAATCACTGCATAAACAAACCTCTAATAATATTACCAAAGACAACCTAGTTTCTCTCCACTTATCCTAATTCAGCTAAGTAAACTTTCAGTGTTGATGATACAGCCAAGAATAATTCTGAAGATAAAAGTAATTTTATTTTCTAAAGTAAGAGATGAATGTTCTTCATCATGTCTAAACCAAGCAGCAATGTCCCTAGACTGCTGCCATGTCTGCCTACTTGTCACAGGGAATCTTTGTGTCTGTGGAGGAAAGCTCTTTTGCCTCTCACCTGTCCCAGTTCAGAGGCCCAAATAATAATGCTCTTGTCTCCCTCCTCCTGTGTAAAAGAATTCAACAAGGAGACACATCTGTGATGTAAATCATAACGAATTAGTTTCCCCTTGAGAGCAATGATGAAATTTTTGAGCAATAATGAAATACTTGGGGACTCTGAAAACCTCATAAGCAATTAATGTATATGGATAATTGCCCAGAAACACAGAAACAAAGCAAAGCAAAACAAAACAAAATATTCTCCCTGAAAATAAGTTATCAGTTTTCACAGTCACCTGCTTTCTTCAACTTTGGCTAGAAATTAAAATACTATTACTATTACTCATATTATAAATGATGCTAACATGCATAAAACAAATTATAATGGTCTTAATTGTTATGTGCTTCACTAGTCACAATACACTTTTGTATATAATGTTTTATTGATTCTTAAACCATTCTTGATAAATGTTTTCTTTTTTATATGGTTGAAAATTCAGTGTTATAGAAGTTATGGGACTAGTCCAGTGTGAAAAAGTAATATGTACTACTATAAAAATGATGTGGCGGTGGCATCTGACCTCCTCTAACTTCACAAGGAGGAAGGAGAATTAAAATCAACAGCCCAAGGCTGATTCCTATGAGGTAGAGGTCAAATATACCTCCTCTCTCTAACCTTTTTACCAATTATGACACCAGCAATCCTTTCCACGGCACTCTCTACTTCTCTGCTAGGTTCAATAATTCATTGCAATGGCCACACAAAACTCACAGACAATACTCATGATTATGGAGTTTATTAGAGGAGTAGCAGGTTACAATTCAGGATCAGATATGACTCAGGATATAGTGCTTCAATCAGGACAGCTACTTCTCACTCTCTGCTGCTGGGCCTTGCTCAGGGCCTTCTTGGACAAGTGTTACAATTCTTAGCTCCATGGGCCAACTAGCCCCATGGCAGCTGACTTGTGCCAGTCTCCTGGTTCCTGCCATCTCGCGCTACTATTGCTCTTGCTACTGCTGTACTGCCGTGTCTTCTGTGTTACAACTTCTCATTCTCTCCCTGTCTCCCTTTAAGCTTAGCAGGATGGCAAAACTGACCAATCCTTGTTAGGATTCCATATACCTTATTTGCATGATCCCACCCCCACAAGGGTGCCATGCACCTTATTTGCATTATCAGCAAGCTATCCAATTCCCTTGGTGGGCCACAAGCACTTTATTTGCATAGTCCCATCCAATCATTTGGTGGGAGTTACAAGACCACGGTGGGAAAGGCCATATACAAGTGATTCATTGCTCCACAACTACAGATGAAACACACATTCTACATTTTCTGACTGTATGTCTTGTTTTTTAAGTGAACATATCTTCTTATTAATGATTTAAAGTTTTGAAAGATATTTCACTGACAAAGTTATTTGTGATTTCAGCATTATCTGTTGCTGTCAAGTCAATTCCAACTCATAGTGACCCTATAGGACCGGGTAGAACTGCCCCATAAGGTTTTCAAGGAGTGGCTGGTGGATTTGAACTGCTGACCTTTTGGTTGGCAGTCAAGCTCTTAACCACTGTGCCACCAGGGCTCCATGATTTCAGCATAGAGCAGCATATTTGGCAGTGGATGCCCCTAGTAGCAATCTACCAAATGAATCAGATGAGAGAGAAAGACAATACATATAAAAGCATATAGAAGCATAGTATAGAATTTAGAAATATTGCCTTTTACTTCTATTCATAAAATGTTATACAGTGTAACTTAATATAACTACCACTGCTATTTAATAAACACTTTTTTTTCAATTGATTAGTGTCCTTTACTGGAAATATTACTTTATAGGAAAATAAGAGTATTAGCCCTATGATGATTTTAGAGAACAATCAGCAATGAGAGATAAAAGTTACAGTGTTCTTATGGTTGGATAAAATAACTATTTTTTACTTGCCTCTCTCAGAAATAAACTTAAAATTAATAAATAGAGCAAAAGCAAAATAATCTAAGGTATCTCTGAAAACTGGAACACCAAGTAATGATTTCTGAAAATAGTGAGGGTCGAGAGGACCTTAAGACAGAGTATGTCCATCACTAGTGGACTCAACAATAACAGAAAAAGCCTGTTTCCCTTAAGCAAACGGCAACATCTGAGTATAAAGCAATATATTATTCATAATATATTACACATATTAATATAATCATTGTAATTATAATATTAGAATAATATAATACATTACTATAGTATGTATATATCTATATATATACTATATATTGATCACAATACTTATTATTGATCACAATAATAATAATTAATTATGTGTTAATTAATTAATACATAATATTAATATATCATCTCTTGTTACAGTAACTTGAATGGGGAACGAAGGCTGGCAATATAAATTTTCTTGGATCTCTATGCAGCATCTAGGAAAAGCAGAACTAGGAATCATAAAGGTAAAGTGCTTATGAAGGAAATGTTCTGTTGTTGAAGAAGTGCAGCGAGCGTACAGAGACTTCATTATAGCAGACCTAGAACAGAAAAGCTCAGTTGATTGAAGAAAACTGAAGGCAAAAATAGCTCTCTCATACACATTTAACCTGGGTCATAAACAATATTTTTGCTGGCCTAGAAACAGGATTTGCCTCCTCTCCAACATAAATCTCTTACAAGTAGTTAATGTAGGAAAACAAAAACTGAATTCATTTACAATGAATAATCAAGAGAGAACTAGGCTTTAATAATAATTTAAAAAGTTCTATTATAGGGAATGTACAAAATTCTAAAAATTGAAACCAAGAAAGTGATAGAAAATAGATGGTAGATGAGGAATACTCACCACAAAATTGTTGCCACACGGGAGGTAAGGATCATGACTAAACACGATATCATTATTTTTAAAAAAGCAAACCTTAAAAATATTACTGACACTATGAAACTAGAATACTATAAAGCCATAAGTGCAAAAATCAGAAAATATAAGGTAAAATATCAATTGAGGATGAACCATGAGCTGGTGGAACTCAGCCTAGAAACAGAAGGAAAAATCAAAAGCAGAAAAATAAAAATAAAAATTATAGAAAAAGAAAAGAGAATAGACACAGCTGAAATCATGGAAGGAATGAAGAAGGAAGGATTGTTAAAAATGAGAAAAAGAAATAACCAAGGAAGGAAGTATAGAATCAAAATAGTAAAACGTACAATGTGCCTTACAAGATGTGAACAAAGGTATGGATCAATACCCTGAAAAAATGCTCACTTTGCTTCAGGTTAAAAAAAAAAGAAAAAATTAACACCGAGTGGGAAAAATTCTATTAAAATTACTGGACTTCGAAGATAAAAAATCAATTGGTCAACTGGACAAAATGATTATAAAAGTCAAGCTAGTTCCAGGCTTCTCTGCAACAACGTTCACAAGTGCTTAAATGAATCTGCATGAGTTAATAATTTCATTCCCCAAAGTACTCTCATTTAAATCAAAGAGAATAGGAGCAGCAACAACTCAGCACAAATAATAAGAAAATCAGCAAGATATTGGATGTAAAATTAATCTATAGAAATCCATGGACTTCATATACATAAACAATAACCAGTTATGGAAGACAAGACATTAAAAACAGCCAAAAAAAAAAAAAAAAACACTTCAAATCTGGCAAAAACTTTACAGGAAATGTACAAAATATAAATAATGAAACCTTTAATTAAATTGTTGAAGCAAACAAAAAGAGATTTGAAGAAATGAAAAATTACATTGTATTCTTAGACAAGATGATTGAATACCATAAAAATATCAGTTCCCCTTATTCATGCTCTTAAGTAATTTTGGAACTAATTCTAATCTGCTAATATTTTTATAAGGATTTCTTCATCTACAGTCATGAAAGATTTTATTTTCTTAATGTGTCATTGTAATGTTTTTGTATCTGGCCTCATAAAATGAGTTGGGAAGTATTCCTTCTCTTTCTGTATTTTGAAATAACTTATATGAGATTAGTGTTATTTCCTTTTAAAAAGTTTAATGATATTTATGGATGAAGTGTTGGAGAAGAATATTGAATATACCACAGACTGCCAGAAGAATGAACAAATCCATCTTGGAGGGAGTGCAGCCAGAATGCCCCTTAGAAGTGAGGATGGCGAGATTTCATCTAGCTTAAATTTGGACACACCATCAGGAAAAACCAATGCTAGAAAAGGACATCATGTCTGGTAAAGTAGAGGGTCAGCAAAAATAAGGGAAATCCTCCATAAGATGGATTGACATGATGGCTGCAACAATGCGCTCAAACACACCAAAGATGGTAAGGATGATATAGGACTGGGCAATGTTTCACTCTGTTGTACATAAGGTCACCATGAGACGGAGCTGTCTCATAGCAACTAACAACAACATGGATGAAGTAATCTGGCCATGGAAGTTTCTTTGATGAATTTTGTGAGCATGCTGCCGAGATTCCTCTTCAGGAATGAAGGACTTGCTACCTCAGTACTGAGACTGCTGCCGGCAGATATTTCTCAGCCTGCCTTCTCAAGGATTGCTTTAGTCAAACAGAACCACCTTCACCTGGCAGCTTTCATGCCATGATTGATTGAGGTGGAGGTATAAAACCCCAGCCCTCTTGAACCACCTCAGGAGAGCTCTGAAGGATCATCCCACCTTAAGAACTCTTTGCATGGTCAGCTAAGGCTTCTTCTGATTCTGAATCACAGTTTTATACCTCCCTATCCTGGTGGTGCAGTGGTTAAGAGGTTGGTTGTTAACCAAGGTCAGCAGTTGAAATTCACCAGCTGCAACTTGAAAGCCCTATGGGGCAGTTCTACTCTGTCTTATAGGGTCACTATAAGTAGGAATCGACAGGACGGCAACAAGTTTATGGTTTATTCCCAATCGTGCTTCCTTCCCTTTGAATCATGGATGTTGACCCCAAGAGTACTTTCAAATAAACCTCCAGCACTATATCAGAGTCTGCTTCCTGTAAAATCCAAGGAGAACAAGGATCTTGGATTTCAAATTCCTTTCCTTAATAGATAGAGGGCTATTTAAAAGTTTCTATTTCTTCTTATTTGAGTTTTGGCAGTATGTATTTCTTCTTCTTTTTAATTGTGGCAAATATGTATAGAAGCAAGCATTTGACCTGTGTTTTTTTAAGAGTTTATACATTTTATGTAAGGTGTCAAATTTATTGGCACTAAGGAACCCCTGGGTGGTACAAAGGATTACCATGCTTGACTGCTAACCAAAAAGTGGAGGTTCTATTCCACCCAGAGGTGTCTCAGAAGAAAGGCCTGACAAGTTACTTCTGAAAAGTCAGTCATTGCAAACCCTACAAAGCACTATTCTACTCTGACACACATGGAGTCATTATGAGTTGGAATTGAGTCCATGGCAACTGGTTAACTTATTCATAACATCCTTTTATCACTATTTTAGTGTCTGTAGGACCTCTGGTGGTAGTCCCTCTTTCATTCCTGATATTGGCATTTAAAAAAAAATTGCGAGGATTTTTATCAATTTTGTTAGTCTTTTCTAAAATCCAACTTTTGTTGACTTTCTCTACTGCTTGATTTTTTTTTTTTTATTTCCACTGTTTTAAAAAATTATTATTTTTCTTTTGTTTTCTTCGGGCTTACTTCACTCTTCTTTTTCCAGCTTCAAAAGGTGACAGCTTAGAGCATTTATTGCAAGCTCTTGAAGCTATAAATTTTCTTATAAGCACTGCTTTAGCTGCATACAAGTTTTGGTATGTTGTGTTGGCATTATCACACCATTAACTTGTGATATGTTCTTTAAACAATAGATATTTAGAAATGTTTTGCTTAATTTCCAAATATTTTGGGCTTTCCTAGATATGTTATTATTATTTCTAATTTAATTCTGTTATTGTCAGAGAACTTCTTTGTATGTTTTCTGTCTTTCAGGATTTATTGAGACTTTTATTATGGCTCATGATACGATCAGTTTTTATAGTTTAAAATAGCAAAATTTTAAGATTTTTTTTGTCAATCTCCTGATATACAGCCAGAGTCATGTCTCCAAGATACTCCAGAGAGACAGGAAAGTCCTCTAAGTGGTATTGCAGATAAACATGATAATTGAAATCCTGTTCAATGTATTGCTTCACATGATATCATTTCAGGGCCTTCAAGCAAGTCATGGCTCATCTCACCAAATAAAACGCATAAGGCTATCTGAGGTACAAAGAAAGATTCATTTGGAGAATCATAGTACTTTGATTTATTTCAGATATTCCCAACACCAGAGAATCTGACTTGAACTGACATTTTGGCACATCAGCCTGCAACTAAAAGACAGGAAAGATACTGTAAGTTCTCCAATGTAGCCAGAAGTATCCAGACTAATCCAGAATCCTTGTATTCATCATTGTTAACATGTTTATCTATTACTGCATACGCTTTGTTTCCCCAGGCTTGCCTTAAATAGGTACTTCATTACAGTTAACTATTTTAAATTACAAAAAAAAAACCTACAGAGTATATGTTGGAATGGATATTAATCAAATGGGACATTAGATTAAGCCAAACAGAGATTGAGGCAAGTTTATCAATTTGGGTAGACTTAAGAGAGATTCTCATTAAATGTTCTGGCTCAAACAGCTGGGAGAGGCTAATTTGGTTGATGGAAACCTCAACTGACCAGTGGCTTATATTAAATGAAGTATTAAATAAATCAAGATGCCATGAGTTACTTAGTATATTATAAAGGAAGAAATATGAAAACTTAGGATGATAAATGTTTTGGAGTAAATTTGACCTGTTTGACCCTCTCACTCAAGGGAGAGCCCAGAGGATACTCTTTTCTTTTTTATTGTACTTTATATGAAGGTTTACAGAACAGTTTCTCATTAAACAGTTAGTATACATATTGTTTCATGACAATGGTTAACAACCCCATGACATGACAAAACAGTCTCTTCTCAATCTTGGGTTCTCTATTACCAGTTTTCCTGTCCCCTCGTGCCTTGTAGTCCTTGTCCATGGACTGTTGAACCCAATTAGTCTGGTTTTGTTTTATGGGGCTGTGTAATCTTTGGCTGAACGGTGAACCTCGGGAGTGACTTCATTACTGAGCTAAAAGCGGGTCCGGGGGCCATACTCTCAGGGTTTCTCCAGTCTCTGGCAGGCCAGTAAATCTGGTCTTTTTTTGTGAGTTAGAATTTTGTTCTATACTTTTCTCCAGCTCTGTCCAGAACCCTCTGTTGTGATCCCAGTCAGAGCAGTCAGTGGTGATAGCTGGGCACCATCTAGTTGTACTAGACTCAGTCTAGTGGAGGCTGTGGTAGTTGTGGTCCATTAGTTGTTTGGACTAATCTTTCCCTTATATCTTGTTCTCTTCATTCTCCCTTACTCCCAAAGGTGTGAGACCAGTGGAGTATCTTAGATGGCTGCTCTCAGGCTTTTAAGACCCCAGACACTACTCACCAAGGTAGAATGTAGAACATCTTCTTTATAAACTGTGTTATGCCAATTGTGCTAGATGTTCCCTGAGATGATGGTCCCCATAGCCCTCCACCCAGCAATTCAGTCCCAGAGGATACTCTTTTCACCATGACATCGGTGAGGGAAGCATTAGCATTTTTAAAAGATAAATATTTCCAAAAACCAAACCCTTGTCTTCTAGTCAATTCCGACTCATACTACCCTTTTTGCCAGCCTTCTGAGATATAACCCAGTAATTTATACTCTGCATCTAGACTGCAATATTCTGGGAAACCTGACTAGTGTTGGACTCACTTTTAAACATTTTCTGGCCAACTTGTCTCTCTTGGAGATTGGCTACACTTGCTCTGTTGTACCCAAGATGCTGCAGAGTCTCGTGAGTGAGGCCCGAGGGATCTCTCGGGAGAGTTGTGCCATGCAGATGTTTTTCTTTACATTATTTGGTATCAGTGAATGTTGCCTTTTGGCAGCCATGGCCTTTGACCGCTATATGGCCATATGCTCCCCACTCCACTACGCAACACGAATGAGTCATGGGGTGCGTACCCATTTGGCAATGGTTTCTTGGGGAGTGGGATGCATGGTCAGTCTGGGCCAGACCAGCTATATTTTCTCCTTGGACTTCTGTGGTCCCTGTGAGATAGACCACTTCTTCTGTGACCTCCCACCCATCCTGGCACTTGCTTGTGGGGATACGTCCCATAATGAGGCTGCAGTCTTTGTTGTGACCATAGTTTGCATATCCAGCCCATTTTTACTGATCATTGCTTCCTATGGAAGAATTCTAGCTGCCGTGCTGGTCATGCCATCACCTGAAGGCCGCCATAAAGCTCTTTCCACCTGTTCTTCCCATCTGCTGGTAGTAACACTATTCTATGGCTCAGCATCAGTCACCTACCTGAGGCCCAAAGCTAACCATTCACCAGGAGTGGACAAACTCCTAGCTCTTCTCTATACAGTGGTGACATCCATGCTCAACCCCATCATCTATAGTTTACGGAACAAGGATGTCAAGGCAGCCCTCAGAAGAACTCTGGGCAAGAAAAAAGTTTTGACTCATGCGTAGGTACATGAGGATCATGCAAATCTGCTCTTTGGAAAGGATGCACACACAGCCTAAGAGTAAACAAATAAACTAACAAAATACTGTGCACTCTTTCTACCTGTCTGTAAGGAGCCTCTTTAATAACAGTAATTGTAAATTTTGGAGACATCGCTGCACTCAGAACTAAGTCCTGATTGTTAAATTCTGAAAGGAAGTTGGAAACTGGAAAATGTTTAAAAGTGAGTCCAACACTAGTCAGGTTTCCCAGAATATTGCAGTCTAGATGCAGAGTATAAATTACTGGGTTATATCTCAGAAGGCTGGCAAAATCTCACTCAACACTCTTAGGCATTGTCTCTCCCCTGAAGGGCCCATATGACTTCTGCCTTGGTCACAAGAGGGCATCTTTCCACATATATCTGTCCACATGACTTTTAATTTCCTAATAACTGCATGAAGTGCACTATACCCTTCAATAAAAAAAGATTTCAATAATTAGTTCAACTTTAGTTATTGGTGGAGCCTTAGTGGTGCAGGTGGTTAAGGCTTAGCTGCTAACCAAAATGTCTGCAGTTCAAACCTATACAAGGAAAGGTCATGGAAGCCCCATAGACACATCCAAACTCCCTGAGGGACTGAATTGCTGGGCAGAGGGCTCTGGGGACCATGGTCTCGGGGAATATCTAGCTCAATTGGCATGACACAGCTTATAAAGACAATGCTCTACATTTTACCTTGGTGAGTAGTGTCTGGGGTCTTAAAAGCCTGTGAGCGGCTATCTAAGATACTCCACTGGTCTCATCCCTTCGGGAGCAAGGGAGAATGAAGAGAACAGGATACAAGGAAAAGATTAGTCCAAAGGACTAACTGTGCACAGCTACCAAGGCCTCCACCGGGCTGAGTCCAGTACAGCTAGATGGTGCCCGGCTACCACCACTGACTGCTCTGACCAGGGTCACAACAGAAGGTTCTGGACAGAACTGGAGAAGGATGTAGAGCATAATTCTAACTCACACACACACACCCAAAAAAAAATCCAGATTTACTGGCCTAAAGGAGACTGGAGAAACCTCGAGAGTATGGCCCCCAGACACCATTTTAGCTCAGTGGTGAAGTTACCTCCAAGGTTCACCGTTCAGCCTGGGAGCGGACAGCCCTGTAAAACCAAATGAGAATAACGAGGTACAGGAGTCCAGTGACAAGGGCCAGAAGGCAGAAGGGGACAAGGAAGCTGGTGATAGGGAACACAAGACTGAGTAAGGATATTGTTGATGTGTTGTGAGATTGTTAACCATTGTCATAGGGCAACATTTGTAGTAACTGTTAAATGAGAAACTTTTGTTCTGTAAGCCTTCATCTTAATGAGAATAACAGCACCATTTGAAGAGCGTAGTCAATGTCACTGAACTGTGTATGTAGAAATTTTTGAAATGGTGTATCTTTGGCTATGTATATTTTCACCAAAAAAAAGGTTGAGAATTTAGAGGGTTAATATGTTGTGGGGTTGTTAACCAATGTCATAAAACAACATGTGTACTACTGTTTCATGAGAAACTATTTGTTCTGTAAGCCTTCACCTGAAGTACAATAAAATATAAAAAAATAATAATAATAATAAAATAACTGAATTGCAATATAAAAAAAAAAAAATGTCTGCAGTTCAAATCCACCAGTCGTTCCTTGAAAACCCTATGGGGCAGTTGTACTCTGTCTTTTAGGGTTGCTGTGAGTCGTGATTGACTCCACAGCAATGGAACAGGTTAATTATTGGTATATCATGTAGAGGCAATGATGTCTTTTTGTGAGTGTGGAAATAATAAATGTAAACACGCAAAAAAAAAAGGAAACTCATACGTTTCAGAAGCATTTGTTGTGGAACATTAAAGCAAAAATATGGAAAATTTTAATCAAGAGTTCTTATGCTGAAAGTGTTTTAAAAAGAAAGATAAATAATATTAATATTCAAGGATTGAAGAAGAAAACTGAACTGAAATAATTACATAAATTAGTTTCAACATTTTATGTAATTAAAAAAATATTACGTATGTACAAATGAATCCCAACTCAATATTTCTGGAGATCATCCAAAGACTTGCTCTTAAGAGAAATGAATATGGTTACTAGACAGTTTAGTAGCTCAAGGCACCTATAAGGATTCCCTGGATGGTACAAATGGCTAACACATTCAGTTTCTAACTGAAAGGATGGAGGTTCAAGTCCACTCAGAGGCACATTGGAAGAAAGTCCTGGTGATCTACTTTGGAAAAATCAGCCATAGAAAACTTCTTGGAGCATAGTTCTACTCTGACACACATGGGGTCAACATGAGTTGGAATCGACCTGACGGCAACTGATTAGGTACCTATAAAGGCATTGCCTTGGATTTGAACATCTGATTCTCAGGGAGATACTGTGTTAACCCTTGATCTGTGAAGTATTACTAACAACATATACAATAGTTATAATGCGACAAAGAGTGCGGTACTGTGACTGCGAGCATGATTTAACTTAAGGTTATCCCAAAAGAAAGCAATTCAATCTTCTCTCAGAGTGCGATATTTCTAGTTAGAATATTTCTATCAGGCAATAGTAGTGAGGTCACTAATGATTAAGGCATTATAATGGCTAATATTTCTACCTTGCTACAAACTGTTCAATTCATTCATTTAAAAATAATAGTTTTTGGTTCTATTTACATGCATGTATAATATTAACAGTGGAAACAACTTAAACATATAAAAATGACTAGTTAACAATTATGCTACAGTTATAGGCAAGAATTATATGAAGGCATTAAAGATGATAATGTCTTTTTTTATTAATCTAGAAAGACATGAATGATTTATTAAGTATTAAAGCAAGTTAAAAACTAGTTTGTAGAGTATGAATTATTTTTATTTTTATAAGAACTTCATAAATAATTTTGAAAGGCTCAAAATGAGTCGTTAACAGTAATTTCTCTATGCAGTCATGTTATCAGTGACTTCTTATCTCTGTTTCTAAGTTTTCTGCAGATAATGCAGTGGTTAAGCATTCGCCTGCTAACCAAAATGTTGACAGTTCAAATCCACCACCTGCTCCCTGGAAACTCTATGGAGCAGTTCTACTCTGTCCTATAGGGTCGCTATGAGTTGGAATCGACTTGATGGCAATGAGTTTTTTGGTTTATGTGTTATACAAATAGTAAAATATTTAATTGTGGATGTTTTTTCCTTAAAACAAATATAATACATATTTCAGAGACTATTTATAAAATACATAAAGTATTAAGATTAAAGTTTAATTTGTTTATATTTGTATCCAAGTAACATCCATTGCAAATATTTGATTTATTTTAGCCATTTTCTTTCTGCTAACCACGTTTACAATTATTTCTCATAATAGATTTTTACCAAAACATATAGTCTTTTGAAAACAGTTGAACATAAAAACACCCAAAATGCACATTTTAGAATATTTTAATGTTTAATGTTTTACATATCTATATTTTCATTTATTAACTTACCCTTAATGTTTTCTATACTAAATATTCCTGAATTATTAGTGATAGTTAGAAATTCTTTACTAACTTTGATCCTCATACTCTGTGTTGTTTGGTTTCCAAGAGCCTTTGGTGCACATTTTTCTCAGAACTGACTGTAACAGCAATGATGATGATTACCATTTATTTCATAGTCTTAAAGTACCAACTCTAAGTTATTTATTAATTACTAAGGGAAAAAATTAAAGAATTTGACACCCTGAAGACACCTTCTTAACAAAGTGATCACAGTTAATATACTGATGTCATATATCCACTGAGAAGGACAGAACATCACTTCTGTGGTATTCTTGCCACAAATGTATAACATCAAACTTATAATGAGAAAACATTAGACAAATCCAAATAAAGAGATATTCTACAAAACAACTGACCAGTATTCTTCAAAAGTGTTGACTTATGAAGACATCATGCACATAAATCTTTGCCAAAATAGACCACATTTTAGGTCAAAAAGGAAGTCTCAATAAATTTAAGAAGAGTGAATTCATTCAAAATATTTTCTCTGACCACAACGGAATGAAGCCAGAAATCAATAACAACAACAACATAAACCCTCTAAAATACACAAACTTACGGAAATTAAACAACACATTATTAAACTACCAATGGGTCACAGAAGAATCAAAAGAGAAATCACACATCTCTTAAAGTCAAATGAAAAGAAAAGCACACATACCAAAACTTATGGGATGCAATGAAGGCAGTATTCAAAGAGAAACTTATAGCAATAAATACCTACATAAAAAAAGAAGATCTCAAACAAACAGCCTAACTCTGCAACTTGAGGAACTAGAAAGAGAAGAGCAAACTAAGCCAAAACCTACCCAAAGAAAAGAAACAGTAAAGATCAGGGCAGAAATAAATGAAATCAAAAACAGAAAAATAATAGAATCAAAAAAACAGAAGTTGATTCCTTGAAAAGATCAATACAATTGAAAAATCTATAGAAATTCTGATAAAGAAAAAAGATGCAAATAACCAAAATAAGAAATGAAAGAGGAGACGTTACAATTGATCCAATAGAAATAAAGAGAATTATGACAAAATATTATGAACAACTGTATGGCAACAACTGGATAATCTAGACAAAATGGAAAAATTCTTAGAAGCACACAACCTACACAAACGGACTCAAGAGGAAATAGAAAATCTCAACAGATCCATAACAAGTGAAGAGAATGAATCAGTGATCAAAAACTTCCCAACAACATCAACAAAAGTCCTAGACCATATGGCTTCACTGGGGAATTCTACCAAACATTTAGAGAACAATTAACACCAATCCTGTTTAAAACTCTTCTAAAAGAGAAGGGAGGACTACTTCCTAATTCATTCTATGAAGCAAATATAACCCAAATAACAAAACCAGAGAAAGACACCCTCAAAAAAGAAAACTACAGGCCAATATCCCTTATGAAGATGCAAGCATCCTCATCAAAATACTAGGGAACAGAATCCATCCTTGTGCCCTGCAATTTTGCTAAATTCTGTTAGCCATGGAAACTTTTTTGTGGATTCTTTGGGATTTTCTATATATATATAATCATATGACCCATCAATAGAGATAATTT